TTTAAAAGTCCAAACATTGTGAACTCCAGGGGCAGGGTGCCTTAAGTGATATGGCAATTTAGTTGGCGTTGGCAGGGAGTTGGAGGAAGGGAGTGCACAACTAACATTTTATAATTCTGCAGACAGTACAATCTAATGTTAATAGAACAGATTTGGCATCATCGGCTGTGTGATCTTGGATAATTCCATAACATCTCTGTGCGTTAGTTTCCTCACAAATGAGATAATAGTATCATCTCTTTTGGGAATGTGTCCATTAAATGATTAAGGCCAAAGCACTTACTACCGTGTATGGCTCAATAAATACCAGCTCATACTTTAGTTCATGGTGTTTTTACAGCCGTTATATAATGAAGAGGATTATGCACAGAAAGAACTGAAGTTGAGAGTGTCTAAGAAAGCACAGCTGGCAAGAGGCAGTGATAGGATTGGAACCCCAGTTTTTCATACTTTGCTTGTTGTTAAATCCTAAGGAGAGCAGTCCTGGGTAGCCAGAAACTTCTCCAAGGTCTCAGGATACTGGGCATGAATGGGCTTGGATGTGAAAGGAGATAAGAGAGCTTCAGAGAGAAATGCTCAACTTCCACCACTTCCTGGCCTATGGGTAACAGGCACGGGTGGAATGTTTCTCAAGGCCTGTCTAGAAGAAACATCCTGTGACTCATAGCGACTTCTGCTTTCTGTCTGAACCCCCTCATCTCCTCTGGGCAGCTGCTGAAGTTGAGGTTGCAGCCACAAACTTTATTTTCTGTCCTTGTGGGCCCCCAATGTGTCTTCTTATTGGGAGATCCGATGACACACGTGTCAACATTAGGTCACTGAAGTGGAAATTCCTTGACTGCAATTCATGTTCTTTATGCACTTGTCAAAAATTTTGATTTAGAGCCTTAGAGTCTCACATTTGAAACCTTTCCACCAACCATGAGAACGTTTTCCCAGACCTGTCAAAGCCAGGCTGCATCCCAGAGCCCAGGCTGTTGGTTTTCATCCAGGGCAGAGGCCCGGCCCCAGCTGGGCTGTAACTGGGAGGGTGCAGTGCTCTACTGCCGTGTTGAAATATTGCTCGAACTAAATCAAATCAGAGGTCAGCTTTACCCAGACAAGAATAGAAAACACAATTGCATTCGATCACAGAACAGCATGTACCCCACAGATATCAGACTGCCTTTAAAATTTTTGAATTTTTAACATCGAGAACAGTGTTCCATGTTTCCTGCTTTTCCAGTATAGGATTTATTTACCCAGTGGGTGACGAAGAGCAATTTGGGATTCCAGTTTGTTTCTCATTGAATGTTTCTCATTTCTGGCCCTCTCATCATCATTGAGGCACAACAAGACAATCTTACAGTGACACTCTGTCCAACAGACTAAGTTATGCTAGGTAATAATTTCACATGTTTTGTGCTTTTTAAAAAATTTGCCAGAGGGCACATGTGCTTGCCAGAGAGAGACAGAAAGATGGAGAGGGAGAAAACGTCCCCTATGGGACATAATCACGCTCCAATCTTTTCTCCTCCGTTTGTCTCCTGTCAGGATTTTGGGCATGCATGCTCATGCATCAGCATGTTTTTCAAGCCACTGGGCCTAGGACTCAAACCAAATGGTTGGTCACGTGGGATCTAGCTCCCTTAAACACCAGGCTGTGGGCTGGCTCCATTTTACATATTTAATAGATCATTACATTCAAGGCTTAAAACAGCACTAACAGATTGTTATTATATTCCTATTTAATTGATAAGTAAACTGAAGGAAAGTGTAAGGAATGTGGCCCAAGGTCACTGAGTAAAGTTGCACGTTGAATCCAAGTCTGTGTGACTTCAAGGCTTAGCATCTTTTTACCACCCAATGCCACTGTGTTGCCTCATTCCAACACCAGAAAGCATGGGTGGCATTACCAGCTTTGGGTGCCAAAATCATGATGAAGCATTTTAAAGGAGTAAAACAATTGATTTATGGCTGATACAGTGGAAAGAACCAAAGCTTTGTAGTCAAAACTGTGTGGGTTGAAATTTGCCACTTGCTTGTTCTATGTTCTTGAGCAAGATACCCTCTTCTCAGGATCTGTTTCCTCATTTGAAAAATGAGAATAACAATACCTTTCTCCTAAGCTTCTTTTAGACAGTCTGGAAAACATTACATATAACATGTCTGATGCTTAGTAATCATGAACCACTTTACTCTGCCCACAAAGCATTGTCATATTCCTTAATACATTTTTTTTTTTTTTAAATTTCAAAAGTTAAACTGTTTCTGCGTTACCTGTATTAACAGTTCTTCCTTAGACCGGCCGTAGCAGAGTCTCATTTCAGAACCTAACTTGAATGTTTAACTTATTTTCTGTCCTTCTGATTCTGGTCCCATATCCTGTCGTATTAGGAGTGTTTGTTCCAGTTTAGATCAGAGACCAGTTTAGGGAAAACTGAATGCTTTGCTCTCTCTTTTCCTTTTCTTCAGCTCCTTTTTTCTCTGCCCCTTTGTCTTATTCAATCTTTCCTGTTTCTGAACTGAATTTTTTCAGACTTTATTCTTTTTTTAAGTAATTATTTATTTAATTTTATTTTTTTCTTCTTCTTCAATTTGACCAAATAGAGGGAGAGTTTTTTCTTCTTCTTCAATTTGACCAAATAGACAGAGGGAGAGAGAGAGAGAGAGAGAGAGAAAGCTGCCAGGTCTGGGACTTAAACCACAGTTGGCCATGTGGGAATCTAGCACCTTCACCACCACACTACCTGCCAGACCCAGATTTTTTTTCATACTTTTGACCTCTTATTTTCTCTTTACTCCTTTAATCTCTGGGCACCCTCTCTCATCTTTCTGCTTTATTAGTCTTTTTTTTTTTTTTTTTTTTTTTTAAGAGGTTTTTGTTATAGGACGTGTGAGCTCGCCAGAAAGAGAGAGACAGAGAGGCAGAAAGTGAGAAATCACCCCCAGGGGAGATGGCCAGGCCACAATCCCTTCTCCTCCTTTCTCCTCTTGGGCATGCACAAACACGCACCCAGCGTGAGTTTAAGACACTGGGTCCGGGACTCGAACTGCGGTTGACTACATGGGAGTCCAACGACATAGCCATTACGTTACTTGCTGGTCCCTGCTTTATTAGTATTCACAAAGAGTTCTTCATGAAGTCTCCTTCCCAGCTATTTTGTTGCTTTTTCTGATGTTGGTGCTTTGCCTCTTACTCTTTTTTCTCTTAGTTCTAAAACTCATTTGGGCCAATGTTTGGGCCCCTACAGTGCTACCTTTCATTTCCCAAGCCAGCCTATGCCTGCCATAGGCTGAACAGTCCGTCTTTTCCTCTGTGGCCAGTCCCCACTGGCTCTTTGGTCTGGCTACCATTTCTGTTTTTTTTTTTTTTGGAGAGATTTTCACTGTAGGGCGCGTGCGCTCGCCAGACAGAGAGAGAGAGACATAGAGACAGAAAGCGAGAAATCACCCCCAGGGGGGATGGTCACGCCGCAATCCCTTCTCCTCCATTCTCCTCTCGGGATCTTGGGCACGCACGCACACGCGCCCGGCTTGAGTTTTAAGCCACCGGGACCGGGACGTGAACCGTGGTCGACTACATGGGAGTCCAGCGACATAGCCATTATGCTAACTGCTGGTTCCCCCATTTCTGGTTCTTATCAGCTAACTTCAGTCCTCATTCCAGGGGCTTCCAACAACCTCTTCTACCTTCCCTCTTCTTGGTAATACGTGGATATTGTGTTGGTGCTTCTATAACAAAATACCTGAGACTGGGTGATTTATATAATAGCCATGTATTTCTCATAGTTCTGGAGGCTAGAGAAGTCCAAGATAAAGGCAACGAACGGCAGGGTTGGGGTCTGGCGAGGGCTGTTCTATGCTTCCAATATGGGTCCTTCTTGCTGTGTCCTCTGGAGGGAATGAATGCTGGGTTCTGAGATAGAAGAGAAAAAACTCACTCCCTCAAGTGCTTTATAAGGGCCCTACTCAAAAGGGCCTTGCCATGACTTAATCGCCTCTTAGAGGCCCCGCCTCTTAATACTATCACATTGGCGATTCAGTATGAATTTTAGAGGGATACGGAGATTTGAATCATACCAGATGTGCTATTGCCTTGGTAGACGAAACTGCATCTGATTTCTGCGATGGCTGATTCTGGAGTGGTAGAGAGGAGGAAAGCTTACCACTCTGTTTACCTGCCCCCATGCCTTACTACATGGGAGTTCAGCGATATAATCATTACACCACCTGCTGGTCTTCCCCCTGGGGTTGAGTCTTTACACAGTCCTTCTTCTGCTGCAGGCTCTTAACTTCAAGGAGCACCAAGAAAAATATTGTTCTGTTGAGCTGTAGTACTAGCGTTTGGGTGTGTAGAGTACAAGAGCCATTTAGAAGTTTAATGAACACATGCAAGTTCACATTGTGTATAAAATACTGAAGAAATATATGTTTTCTAAAGTTCTAGAACTCTCTTGCTCTCAAGAGAACACTTTGGCTTCTCTAGTGCCTGCCTCAAAGGGTTCATGGAGCATAATCTTAAATATTCTGTTTTTTCTTAGGAACTGTTTCCATAATTTTCATCTGTGACTTTAACACCATTTATTTTGAACATGTTTAATTTTGAGCTTGTATTTTTATCTTGCCTTATGTGTGTCAGTATTCAGGGTAGTTATTAACACACTCAGTGTCATTAGTGCTTATTTAACCTTCACTCCTAAGAAAGTAGACCTCCATTCATGAAAAAATGGAGACTCAGCACATCCAAGTGACTTCCCTAAGGCCACATAACTGGAAAATTCTGGAACTGAGATTTGAACCAGTTTAGCCAGACTCCAAAACCTGAATTCTCTTGGATATGCCTTGGTAATCCCATAGCAAGCCTTTACCACAGAAAAGGAACTGTCTCCTGGGCTGAGAAGCCCAGGTCAGCTGAACATCAGAGAGGGCCTGAGGTGTTGTGTACCTCACACTTTCAGCCAACTCTCACCAGCCCCAAGGAGTCACCCATGTCCCCTGTCTTACCCCCTTCTCCCTAGCATTGAATACCATCTTCCCTGAGGATTCAGCCATCTCAGTGAAGTGGACAACAGCTCTCCTTGAAGGTGAATATAGAACCCCAGCACCAGGAAAACAAACCCAAACTACCAAAGAGTGTCTGGAAGACATAGAATGGGTTTCTACCAGGCCTTTCATAGCAGAAAAATGTTTCAATGTCTTGTTTATAGGGCCAGACAGTTTGACCCCCTAACCCCCACCGCACTGTCCCTTTAATAGAGCTAATACTGGAAGACCCATCCAGGGGTCTGTTGAAGCAGAAAATCTAGGCTTTGAATGCTGATCTTTCTCTACCTCTTCCCCCCCCCCCCCCCTCTTTTTTTTTTTTTTACTTGGGTGTTCCACCCACTTCTCAAGCAGCTGATTGCTTGGTTCCTTTTTATTTTGAGCAAAAGAGAAGATAGAGATCTGGAAACCTGAGCTGGGGACTGGAGGGCACTGACTGAGAGTAACCCCAGCTAGCTCACGCTGAGGGCTTCCCTTCTTCACCTTTCTTCTGCTGCCCTCCCTTGTTCCCCCTGCCTCCATCCTCCCTCCTTCCTTCTCCATCTTCTTCACCCTCTGCTCCCTAGGTGGGAGGTGGTCTGTGCCCTGGCAGGAGGCTAGAGGGAAGCATCAGAGCACTTAAGTGACCTGGAAGCATCCCAGGGGTAAGGCCTCTCCCTGCCATACCCCTTTCTCTGCCTGCAGACCTGCTTTCCTGAGCTCAATAGAGAGGCCTGGCCTAGATGAGTGGCAAGAAACTTAGGATTCTGTCTCACTCTTCCTCAGCCCACCCACACACATTTCACCTGTTTTCCTTATAGACTCTAGGTTCTCAGGTTGTTTTGTTTTCTGTCCTTTCCTTTGCCCTGCCACACTGTACTCATAGCAAAACTCTTGGGAAGCTTGCAGGCCAGTTTGCTCCTCCAGCCAGACCGAGGAGGCTGAGCTCAGAGATCAAGTCCCTTGGTCTATATTGAAGAGATAGACTGTGGTAGAAAAGCTCTCTTGGCCTTTGGCTGGATAGGGATTTTCAGTCTTTGCTAGCACTGGGGACTCATGTTTAATTAGTGGGTGGCCCAGCTCCCTGATGTCTGTGTTTGGTGGTAGTTACTCATGTAAATATGATGCTCATTAACTCTTTCTCCTGAAAGCACTTGCACGTTATCTTCGGTTTTCACAGCAACCCCCATGAACGTTATTAGCTCCATTTTATAGCCAAGAAAACTGAGGTCAAGTGAGATTAAGAAAAGGGGAAAAGTAAGGTTCATGGTTACCGGAAATACCCAACTGAGATTTGAATTCAGATCATCTGATGCTATATCCAGCACTGATACAGTTCTTTTCCCATGTCCTTTTTTTTGTTTTTTGGAGAGGATTTTTTTTTCGCCATAGGGCGCGTGCGCTCGCCAGACAGACGGACAGAGACAGAGAGACAGAAAGCGAGAAATCACCCCCCGGGGGGATGGCCACGCCGCAATCCCTTCTCTTCCATTCTCCTCTCGGGATCTTGGGCATGCACGCGCATGCGCCCAGCGTGAGTTTTAAGCCACCAGGTCCAGGACGTGAACCGCGGTCGACTACGTGGGAGTCCAGCGACATAGCCATTACGCCAACTGCTGGTCCCTCCCATGTTCTTTTAAATGTCATGAATTAGAAGTTCCCAGAGATCATCTCCAATCCACACATTAAAAAGAAAAAAAGTTTGTTTGTTCCGTGAGTGAGAGAGACAGAGAGAGAGACAGGGAGACAGCACCCTAACAAGGTCTTGACACTGTGTTCTACTCCCAGCCTCATCCAACTCCAACTCTCGGACACATGTGCCTGATGTACTCAGGGGAGGTCTCTGGACTTAAGGCAAGAACCATCCCCTGTTCCCTGTGGGTGGTCTCACAAGCATTCTGTTTTAATCCTGCAGTACTGTCTTGCCCCTGCACATTTTATAGATTTAAAAAAATCCATATCCGGGACCAGCAGTTAGCATAATGGCTATGTCGCTGGACTCCCATGTAGTCGACAACAGTTGGAGTCCCGGACCCAGTGGCTTAAACTCACGCCGAGTGCATGTGCGTGCGTGCGTGCCCAAGATCCCGAGAGAAGAATGGAGGAGAAGGGATTGCAACATGGCCATCCCCCCTGGGGGGTGATTTCTCGCTTTCTGTCTCTATGTCTCTGTCTTTCTGGCGAGCGCACGTGCCATATAGGAACCCCCCGCCACCCTCCCCAAAAAAAGATAAATGACTAAGTGACTGTCCTTTCCACCAAGTGGTCTCTGTCTTGCCTAGAATGACAAGACATGGAGCTTTTTTACTGATCATCTTCCTCTTGTCCTATGTCCATCCTTGTAGTGACTGACAATCATGATCATTCTCACTGATTCTCTGAAAAATGCTGTATTTATCTGTTCTTTTATGAAGTTCTGAATAGACAAATCAGTCAGCGTAAACCTTTCCTTCACCTTATGGACAGTATCAGCAGAAAAAGTTCAGTCATTCTGTTCAGCTCAGGAACTCAGGTAGGCAAATACTTGGTACACTCAAACAGGCACACCCACACACACACATGCCTATCTTAGATCACAAATTCAATATCTTCACTTAGCTGCAAAGTTATTCCTGCGGTCTTATCTATTCTAACTATGCTTTAGGGTTACATTAGCCATGAAGCCAATGAGGTCAGTCATTCCTGAAAATGATGATGGTATCAGCCATCCTCTACCGAGCATCTTTCTCAGTAGCAGACATTACACTGGGCCTGCAGGTACGTTTTCTCATTGAACTCTTAGCTCAGTCCCGTCAGGTTGATGCCACTGTCATCTCCATTTTATCATGTAATTGGCTCAGCCAACATCTGTTCTATCCCCTACTCCACTGCCAGCTACCACGTACCTGAAGCCTCTTCCCTGGGCCAGTGTGCCTGAGAAGGTTTAGTGACACTCCACGGTCATCTTGACCATGTTTGTTTTTTGCACTGATCCCTAACTACTGCAAGGTGATTTCACTTCTCTACAATTGCCAATATCCCAGTACACATCAACTCATTAATTTATTTACTCATTTGCATTTATCTGTTCATACACTAAAGATTTCCTAAGAGCTTTCTTTGGGCTGGGCAATGTCGGCTTTGGAGTTACACATCCTGGCCTTCCAGGCTCTTTTTTTTTTTTTTTTTTTTGAGAGATTTTCACTGTAGGGCGTGTGCGCTCGCCAGACAGACAGAGAGAGACATAGAGACAGAAAGTGAGAAATCACCCCCCAGGGGGGATGGGCACGCCGCAATCCCTTCTCCTCCATTCTCCTCTCGGGATCTTGGGCACGCACGCACACGCACCCAGCGTGAGTTTTAAGCCACCGGGTCCGGGACACGAACCGCGGTCGACTACGTGGGAGTCCAGCAACATAGCCATTACACTAACTGCTGGTTCCCGAGGCTCTTTTGTTCTTCTGGGAAAAAGAAGTATATGTGGGCAACTGTGTGGTACTCACTCAGGGGAAAGATGACATTATTGGGACACAAAAATGTTCACAGGTTGAAGAGGAGAAGGTCAGAGCAGGTTCCCTGGGAGGTGACTGTTGGGCCAAGTCATGAAGAGGTAAGAGGAGAAGGGCTGTTTTAGACATCTGGCCTTCTCAATATTCTTGACTTTTCTAATAACATAACAGAGAAGACTGAGCTCAGCAGGTGTAAAGCCACCCTGTTCTGTCCTCACACTGCATCCCCCCTCTTCCTTCTCCTTTCTACTCTCCAAGTCTTAGGCTTTGAGGACTTTCCTTCCACTATGTCTCTTCCTTTTCATGTATTCATTCACAAACATTTGTTGAGAACTTACTATGTACAGAACACCATGACCACAGGGTATCCTGGTCCCTGCCATCACAAAAGGTCTCACTCTCTCCTCACCAGCCGTGGCTTCTAGGGCTCTCTGTTTTGTTTTGTTTTGTTTTGTTTGTTTTTTCTTTCTAGAACTTGGCTCCAGCTTAATCCTCCCTATCAGCCCATGACTGGCTTGAAGACAAATCTCATCCTGGGCAAATACATCTGTTTGTCTTCTTCTGCCTTTCTAATCTCTCCTGCTTCTGATTGGCCATTTCATTTCCCTAACCAACCCAGAAAGTTCCTTGAGGACAGAGACTGTGTCCTTATCTCTTCTATACTTGGCATTGTTGTATGGTAAAGATGAGTGGAAAAAAAATCTGTACAAAAATAACAAAATGATACCATTTATTTAGCACCTTCCATGAGCTAGTTACTCACTTTTCATGTGAATATATCTAGTCCTCATATCTTTGAAAGGTGGATGCTATTATCTCCATAGGTAAGAAGACGCGGGCTTAGAAAGGCAAGATGACTTTCTCACAGTCACACAGCTAACTCACAGCAGAGTGGAGCATCCAGTTTAGGTTTTTCCAGTCTTTTTTTTTGGAGTTTTTTTTTTTTTCTCTATAGGGCGCGTGCACTCGCCAGACAGACAGAGAGAGACAGAGAGACAGAAAGCAAGAAATTATCCCCCGGGGGGATGGCCACGCCACAATCCCTTCTCCTCCATTCTCCTCTTGGGATCTTGGGCACGCATGCACACACGCCTGGCGTGAGTTTTAAGCCACCGGGTCCCAGATGCGAACCACGGTCGACTACGTGGGAGTCCAGCAACATAGCCATTACGCTAATTGCTGGTCCCAGTTTTTCTAGTCTTAAACCCTGATCTTTCCTCATATTTCTCAAACTTGGCTGGAATTTTTTTAGTTCTGATGCCTAGTCTTAACCCGTAACAGTTCTGATTAGTTGTTTTGGAGGGTGGCCTGGCTTTGGGATCTTTATAAAGTTCCCAGGTGAATTTAAGAGATGGCCATGGAGGAGGACCAGTGTGTGCCCCTCGGCCTTCCTGTGTCTACACCAGTTACAGCTGTTGGTGGTGGTATGTGAGTCTAAGCTGATGGTATCCATGTGATCAGACTGCAAGTTCTTCATAGAGAGGGATCTCTGGCCCTCCTTGCTGCTTCCCCACCCAGAAATCCCACCACACCCTGTACGTGCACTGCCCAGGGCCCTTGACCATTTAGCCGGCCTCTTGGTTCTTGTGTCTCATCCAGAGGATTCAGTGGTCGGTGGTTGGATTTTGATCACATCCAGCTGTTCTCATCCTCAGAGCCTGTTGACATAACAGAAGAGTCTTATAAACATGCTGAGCACACTCGCGGGTCTCCAGAGTGTTGCTGGATGGCCCAGACCCATTGCGAGTGCAGCCGTGGGTCAGCCTTCCACACTTCTGCTGCTCTGCTCAGAGGGAGGGCTACAGTTCTGAATGTGATGTTATGTACTGCTCTGCTCCGGCTCTGCCCAGAAAGATGTGTAGCTTCTTGATCAGTAAGGTTAGCTCCCATGTTTATTCTGCCAAGGATTCAGAGCTTTTTATAAATTTTCTTAGAGATTTTTGCCTTAGGGCACACCTGCTCGCCAGAGAGAAAGACAGAGGCAGTGCTGGTGAAAGGGAAAGTGAGAAGCCACCCCCCAGGGGGGGATGGCCACACTGCAATTCCTTTTCCTCCACTCTCCTCTTGGAATCTTGGGCATACATGCACTTGTGCCTGGCATGAGTTTCAAGCCACCGGATCCGGGACTTGAACCACAGTCAGCTATGTGGCAGTCCAGCAACATAACCACTATGCCATCTGCTGGCCCTCAGAGCTCTTTTTTGACTCCTCATTTTCTAGGTAAGGCAATGGAAGCAGAACTAGATGGAATGACCTGGCAAATAAATGGATACATAGCCCAGGTTTCTGACTCTCAGTGTGGTGCTTTTCCTACGTTTGCATGGCAGTCAGGGTCTGCCTTTTCACGCTAGACCTTAACTGAAGCCACCAACTTGCCTGCCTGTCTTCCTGTTTGGCCCAACCCTGAGGGAAGTGGATACTTGCATGTCACTTTCTGCCCCTGGAAGACAGTTCTGGTGGCTAGGGCCTCCATTTACTTCTGGAGTATGGCCTGGGGATGGTCCTGCCATCACTGGGTTCTTCCTGGACCTGCTCAGCTGAAAGGATATCTCCTGGGATGCTGCTCAGATACTTTTGGAATCTTACTCCTAATCTCAGCTCCTAGTGTTATTAAACTGAGCAGTATTACTACCTTGAATAGCAATTCTGTGCCAGGTCCTGATCTGGGCATCTGAGTTAATAGGGTAAGACTCATATTACGTGTCCTATAGTTACAGTCTAGTGGAGACAATATGTAAGATAACATTTCTTAAAATATGGTGCCTAGACTACAGGCCTTAGAAGTACAAAGGATGCTTATTAAGATGCAGATTTGTGGGTCCCCCATTCTAGATCCACTATTTCAGAATCTGTAGGGGTTGGGCCCAAGAACCCATTTTAGTGTGCTCCCTAAATGAGCATCAGGTGCTCTGAGGTTTGACAACTATAGACGTGAGGCGTGAGTCCACAGTTAACAGTGTAGCCTCATGTGGGAGCCCCAGGTGGGTGACAGTTTGTAGAGACATCGATTCTGTAACTCTTATTGAAGTTTGTTTAAAGGAGAACTTACCTAGATCACGGGGCACTGATGAGAATCTGGCTGGGTTGTAGGGCCTCCTGGTACTTTATCTCTGCACATGACCCTTTTAGCTCCAAGGATTAACTCCTGTCCTCATTAAGCCTTGCGTTTGTAGCCTGAATTTCAGATCGAACCTGTTTCTCCTCAAGTAAATGGTTTGAGTTGGCAAAGTATGCCCCCTAGAGGTCAGTTTGTGCCTGGATTTGTAGATAGCGGTTCTGGGACTGATGACCGCTTGGCCATGCAGTCAGGGTGAGCTGGTTTCATCTTTATTGCAAAGAAGTTAGGTTAGAAGGAAGGTGGGGTGGAAGGAGAGTAAGTAGACAAGTAAGCCATGGAAAATGGTACTATTTCAGAGTCCAAGTATTTGATCAGAAACCTGTTATGTTATGAAATAACCAAGTGACACAACCAGATACAGCTCTAGTTATAGGGACTAAAATTCTGGGTTTCTGGCCAGTGCTTTTCCTGTTTCACTACACTTGATCCAAACCTTTTCTGAATGTACCTGGAAGACCTATTATTTAAAGGGATTCTGTGCAAAACGCCCTAGCAACCAAGTCAATTACTAGGGTTGATTTTTAAATATGTGCTTACATTATTTTCTAAAGGTATGGCAGACTTGCATTTTAGTCTGTCTCAAATGTTTGGAATTAAAATGAGGCCATGTCTGTGAAAGTGCTTTGATACGCATAGTACGCTGTACTGGTGGTTCTCAGTGTGTGTTCCCCAGACCAGTGGGCTTGGCATCACCATCACCTGGGAGCATATTAGAAATGCAGGTTCTTAAGCTCCCTTCTAGACTCACTAAATGAGACAAACTGGGGCTGGGGGCCAGCCATCTGTGTTTTAACAAGCTCTCCAGGTAATTCTGATACTCACTGAGGTTTGAGAATCATTGGCTGTTCTGCATTAACTGATTAGCCTCTGAGGCTTTACATCTCTCCAGTTTTAGGTACATGAGATGGCATTGACGAGACAGGAGCAGTGAGTTCAGTGTCACAGATCTCAGGTGGGATGGGATGAGACCATTGAAAAGGTTTGGCTTTTTGCTTGAAAAGCGAGGAAGGGGTGTGTGTGTTTGTGTAACAGCCCTGTTGTACTGAGTGTGGGAGCACACACCGAAAGTGGCTTGGCATGTTATCAGAAAGCGATCTTTTTATGCCTCTCTCGATAAGGGAAAGCTCCCCTAAGTCATTTCTCTGTGTGTTTCATCCAGAAGCCTGCAGTCATCAATTGGTTTAAAACAAGGCAGTCAATATTATGATACTTATTTTCCACTTGCCCCATCGTGCTGGTTTTGTATTTTTGGAGTTCCTTACTAAATGAAGATAAAATATTATTTCCCGATAGGGTTGAAGCTTCAAGATTTCCTGGTGGACAATGAAACCTTCTCTGGACTCCTGTATAACAACCTGTCTCTCCCAAGGCCGACTGTGGACAAGATGCTGAGGGCTAATGTCAGTCTCCACAAGGTGAGCCGCCTTGTGGAGCGGGGCTGATGGTGATTACATTATTCAAGCTCCTGGAAGGAAATGAATACACCCCTGTCCTTGTCATGATGGCGGAGGGCTGGTTAGTGCGAGTTCACCTTCACCTCATTTTACCTCCCTGCTCAGCCTGGCACTGCCAAATTATCCAGAGAGTGGAATGCAACCTGGTGTCATGGGCCAGCTGGTTGAAATAAGGCTGATTTCCTGCCTGTCAGTGGGTGTTTGTGATGACTTCCTCCTCAAAGGGTTACATTTTTAAGTTCAAAGGGTTACATTTTTAAGTTAAGATGAATTAAACTTTTATTTTTTAATTTCACAGTTCTCAGACAATAACCAGGGTGGAGGATTATTGATCTGAAGCAGCTCTGTCTATAAAATCTAAGAAAGGAGAAACATAAAGTTCCTTTTAAAGATAGACAACGCTGTATAAGGAGATCTTAAAACATGTACAAAATCAGGAAATAATATTAATGTTTATGTAGAACTTGAACTATAGAATCTTAGGAAGTTTCCGCTGGCATCATTAATATCACACAGCTCCCGTGCAATGGGTAGGAGACCCAAATTGTGTCGTTATTGATTTTTCAGAGATGCTTCTTAAGTTTCTTCGCTGGCAGAAAGGGAACTGCTTCTTCATTCTGTCTTATGTCTACACACAAGCTTGTCTTTACAATAAGCAGAAGTAGTGGAAGTGTTTATGCTTGAAAATAAGGTCTTTGCTTCACATGATCTAGTGTTTTTAAAATTAGAAAAATGTGCTTACTGCTTTCCCTTATGAAACTAGGAAAATATGCCTTGTGTTTACGAATCGTGTGGTCGGGAGATAGGCCAAAGGCAGACGGGTTTTGAAACTAATTGTATTTAGCACAATTTCCATTGCCTCCTGCCAGTTTCATATCTGTCACGTCTGATCAGTTTAAAATAAGGAGCATCCCAAGCATGGGAGTGGTCTATGTATGGTAGTTAGAATTTCCGTGTTGTCGTTCTTAAATAAAGACACTAAGGGTAGACCGACAGCCTGGCAGCAAGGACTCCTTAAAGGAGTAAACCTGAAGTGCATCTGAGTATTGGGCAGTAGGTGAAAATGCAATGGAAACTATGGCAAGCCAAGTGCTCTGCAGTGTTTAGAAAGCTGCATGGGTTTTGAGAGGCTTTTGATGCATCACTTACATCAGGTTCTTCTACTGGCAGAACAGACTGTGCTGATTTAAGCTAACAGGGAAGTTAATAATGGTGGGATAAAGATTTCGCATCATTGATTCACTCAATAAACATTTCCCTGTAGTGTTCTAGCACTATGGATAAAGAACGAGCATGACAGAGCCTTTGCAAAGCTTGCCGTCCATGGATAGTAAAGACTATATACGAAGAAGCACAGTTCTGTTCGTCTCAGAGAGGCTAATTAAGTAAATGAAATATGACTAAGGAGAGGCTCTCAGTGGATGTGCTATAATAATAAGTAAGAATAACTTGGGCCCGGCAGGTGACACGATGGTTAAGGGTGCTAGACTCCTATATGGCTGACCATGGTTTGAGTCCTGGACCTGGAAGTTTGCTTTCTCTCTCTCTCCCTCTCTGATAAAATTAAAATAAATAAATGAAGTGAAATAAAATGATTCTTTTTTTTTTAAAACAAAAGATTAACTAAGAATTAGCCTATCAATGAGATAATAAGAGGCCAGGCTTTTCGGCATTCTACTCTATAGCAAGTAAAATGTAAGATTCCAAATTCTGGAATTGTTTGAACACAGTTCTGTGCATTAGTTAAATATACCTACAGATAGATAGTACAAATGCTTTTTGTCCTCCATAATTTAGTCCAATCCTAGTTGAATGTTTCATAAATTTCAGAATCATGATGATGTTTATCTTCTTTTTTTTTTAATCCTTTTTTTGGAGAGGTTTTTGCTGTAGGACGCGTGTGCTCGCCAGACAGACAGAGAGAGACAGAGAGACAGAAAGTGAGAAATCACCCCCCGGGGGGATGGCCATGCTGCAATCCCTTCTCCTCCGTTCTCCTTTCAGGATCTTGGGCATGCACGCACACGCACCTGGCGTGAGTTTTAAGCCACCGGGTCCAGGACGTGAATCGCAGTCGACTACATGGGAGTCCAGCAACATAGCCATTACGCTAACTGCTGGTCCCGATGATGTTTATCTTCTAATAAAAGTGGCTCCAGGAGTCCAGGCTCTGGATCACCTTTACAACTAGTAAGAAAAAGAGTTGGTCACGATTTGCCTTTGCAATATTCCAAATGTGTAGGTGATATGGAGTCAAAACACAACATGCAGGTTTGAAATGTCCTGTCAGCTGGTGCCTTGATAAATTCCTAAGTTCAGTAAAGACCTGATGCACTAGACTGTTGTCAGGGTGCCCATTTTAAGGTCTTCAAAGCTATTAGGTTGTCGGGAAAGTCATGACGTGTTTTCTAACAAAAATGTGTCATGACTTTCCTGATGTGAAGTTCCCTCAAAGGTTTCAAGGACTCCGCTTTACCCATTTTTGTAACCCTGTTTTGCTCATCTCTCTTTGCGTGAAATACTTTTAGGTGTTTTTACAAGGCTACCAGTTACATTTGACTAGTCTGTGCCATGGATCAAAATTAGGAGAAGTGATTCAACTTGGTGACCACGAAATTTCTGAGCTTTGTGGCTTACCAAGGGAGCAGCTGGAGACAGCCGAGCAAGTCCTTCGTTCCAACATGGACATTCTGAAGCCAGTCCTGGTGAGTAGACTCGCTCTGTGGAGAAGCTGCAAGCACTAATGCTTTTGGAATGTGATGTTTTTCCTTGGACAACATGACTTCATTTTTCTAGAAACATAGGGCTAACTAGGAGTTTGTTACATAATTTAGACTAGTGGTATTCTAACTGTTCTTTCAAACTTTTGGGCCATCTCCCAAAGGGGTGAATGGGGAGAAATGAGCTAGGTGTGTCTGAGTCCAAGCCCAAGGTCACTTGTGTCTGTTTCAGTCAGAGAAGACCTGCTTTTTAATATTTTCTGTATTATAATTCTAAATAAGAATTTATTTGACGAGAGACCAGCAGTTGGTGTAATGGCTATGTCACTGGACTCCCATGTAGTTGACCGCGGTTCGAGTCCTGGACCTGGTGGCTTACACTCACACCGGGTGCGTGTGCATGTGTGCCCAAGATCCCGAGAGAAGAATGGAGGAGAAGGGATTGCGGCATGGCCATCCCCCGTGGGGGGTGATTTCTCGCTTTCTGTCTGTCTGTCTCTCTCTCTTTCTGGTGAGCACATGTGCCCTATAGCAAAAACCTCTCCAATTAATAAATAAAAGAATTTATTTGAAGAATTCCATAAATTAAAAAAAAAAACTTTGAAATTATTATTATTATAGAGAGATTTTTTGCTATATAGCACATGTGCTTGCCAGAGATACTGAGAGATACTGAGAGATACAGAGACAGAAATTGAGAAATCATCCCCCGGTGGAATAACCATGCCACAGTTCCTTTGCTTCCATTCTTCTTTTGGGATATTGGCACGCACACACATGCATGCATACACACTTGCCACCATGGGTCCGGGACTCGAACTGTAGTTGACTACATGGGAGTCCAACAATGTAACCATTACTCCATCTGCTGGTCCAAGAAAAACTTTGAAATGATTAATGGAAACATAGATATCAATTCATGTTTAAGTTCCCGTCAGAAATGAGACATTGTGGGCTCTCACAGTAGGAAAACTCTGAAATTAGATGGGACTGCAACCAATAATTAGATTAATCAATGACAAATTGCATTCAAAGAAAAAAAATTGCAGCAAAATTTGATCAGCCCAGGGAAGCACTCCATAAGAATATATATTTATTCTTAACCAAAGAATGCAGGTGAGGCTGAGTATTTTGGTCAACAGAGTATTGTGTGTAGTTCCAGAACAGATATGTGTCTCAGGGTTTCTTGAGAGTGCTAATGAAATGCATCTCCCTCCCTGCTCCTCCCCTGGCCCCCAGCAGTATCATTGAACATCCAGTGACTTGGTTTCCTACTCACCAGGCTAAGATTTGTCAGTAGGTTCTTTTAAACCAGGGAAAGATTCCTTGTGAAAGACTGTACCTGGAAAGTGCTGTTCCTCAGCCATTACAATAAAGTGAAATGATAATTCTCTCAGATTTTGTCAATGTGAATTCTTTATAGAATGGATTCCTTCCACAGGGTGCTAAGAATGTTCAGTTTCTGAACCCTGCGCCTAAATCAGTCCCTTGAATGTGACCTTAGAGGCAGGTCTGAGGTTTTAGTCTCTCATTGACCATCAAGAAGCTCTTGTATCTTGCTTGACTGATGCTGCAGCTGCTGCCTGAGATGAAGGTAGTAGTGTGAGCTCTGCATGTGTCTGTGGTGAGTACCCAAGCCAGTCAGTGTGAAGGACGTAGGCCCAGTTCCTAAGATCTGCTCTTGTTTTATTCTAGAAGTAGTCCATGGTTTCAGTTTTTATTTTGATTTGTTTTAAAATAGTGCTTTGTTCAGTGATTCTTGTGGTTAACATTTCCATATGTGAGAGGTTTAAGTGATATACATTTCTTTATGGAGGTGTTTGGAGTCCTAAGCAGCTGGCCTAACTCGTCAGATAAGCTCACTTATGCAGACATCTGCAGCCTGCTGGCACTCTTTACATTGTGAGACATAGAAGATCAAAAGTTATTACAAATGGTATGAAAGGTTATTAAAAAACCACTTCTTAGGACTGTTCTGGGCTGCTTTACTCCACTGCAAGACAGAAGTGTTCCAACATTCAGTCACAATGGTTCAAATTTTAGAAATATGGGTGACTTTAGAAGACAGTAATTTATTCTGGCACTCATTCATTCTGTTTCACTGTTTGCTCATTAAACACCTATGATGTGCACAACTTATAAAAATCTCTCTACCTACATGTCTGAATTACACTCAAGGTAGAATGATGATACAGTCCTCACCATCTGACAGTTAATGGCTCCGTTCCAACTAGAAAGTGTCTCCATTTGGGAGGATTTACAACATGACAGGGTGCATGGAAATGTACTTTCCCAACTTCAACCACATGACATCCCATCCTGCTGCCTTGTGGGTCAGTTAGTTCATGATTAGGTATTGGCTACAGCGGCCACCATGAGTTTTCTCTACGTCTCTTTGGTGTATGGTGCATCACAGGTCTTATTCATGCTCCTCTCTCCACAGAGTCGGAAAATGAGGCTCTAGAATTAGAATACAGTGAATTGTCAGGATTGGTTTGGATAAAGATGATTTTGGAGGCTGCAACTTTGGGATGAAAATGACTTGCAGACATTTTGAAATGTGTCTCTTATTTATTGAATCAAGCAGATCCTTAGTTGGAATACTGGGGTTGAGTTTTGACTTTCATTAGCAGCCTTTTTCTCCTAATACTTATTTGAAACATCATTTGTGGTGGTAGGTAGATGTGTCATTCATCACACGTGGGTAGTTAATTGTGCTAAGAACTCAAGAGCAGGTCCAACATAATGGGCAGAGAAAGTGTTCTGTCAATATGCATTTCTGTACCCAAAGTGGATCTTCAGGAGAGACATTTTTCGAAACATTACTCTTTTTTTTGGGGGGGGGGAGATTTTCACTGTAGGGTGCGTGCGCTCGCCAGCCAGACAGAGAGAGACATAGAGACAGAAAGCGAGAAATCACCCCCCAGGGGGGATGGTCACGCCGCAATCCCTTCTCCTCCATTCTCCTCTCGGGATCTTGGGCATGCACGCACACGCGCCCGGCGTGAGTTTTAAG